GAGGGATCTCATGCATGTACCAGCATTATTTAATGCAACGTCTGTGGTCATGTGTAATCCCAATGTTCAGTGGTAAAGTTAGCAGCTGGGGACTGTCATGTCACTGAAAGCATGAGAGGGTCCACAGATGCCTGTAGCAGGAAGGAGAGCTGTCTCCAACCACCTCTCTGCAAAAGCACTTCACTTAGGATTTATGAAAGAGATTTTAGCATTATTGTGTCATGGTTGTGAAAAAACAAGCCCTGCAAGAACATCCTGTTGCATATTGATGGGCACTTTGATAATAGACTGTTAATTGGCCATCCATATCCATCCAACCAGCGCCTAATAATCAAACTCACTGTTAAGTGAGAACAGCTATCCTTGACAGAACAAACTGGGCAAGGATGTGTGTGCAGGAGGAACTAGAAGAAGAAAAAGGAGGCTTTGATGGCATGGTGGGGAGCAGCATGAATTACTGTAATCCCATCGTCAGGAGTGTGTTCAACACCGTCACCAGGCCATGCCAAACACAACCAGATTAGTCTCATTCTAGAAAATGAGGTGCTGGGAGGAAGGCAGGATTGCTGATGTCTAAAGCAGATTTGTTTTCCACCTGTCTTCAGTTTTGCATCTGTTTGTTTTGATGACATTGGCTAGAGGCAGACCAACAAAGGGAATGAAAAGTGTTATATTCCTGCTGCAAAATCAGGCATGTTTCATCATCAGTAACAAGAAATCTTTTCATTCAGTTTACAGAGGCATAATCCTCACATTTTCAAGCTATTTTTAAACCTTTTGGAGGTTTTGATTGATTTGTGGACTGACATAAATGTAAAAGTTCAAATTAAACATACTCATGTTTACCCAGCACTTTCTGCTTATTATCTCTTACTGTAGTAACTCTTTATCATAAAAGGGTTTATCTTTCCACAATAAAGAGGGACATTTAATTACTTATTTCCCTATTTCAATTTTCTCCTGAGGAGATATCAATGTAAAACACAGTAAGCTGACTGTCATCTTCTACTGCTTCCTTTAACACCAATATTAGTGTTTAGCTGGAGGGATTTATTTTATTATTGTCAAGTGTTAGTGTTTTCAAGGGTGGAAGCACAGAACTCATCTTCTGTCTGGAGAGCTGTTTGATTCCCATAATCTCAGTTTACAAGTGAAATCTGGACTAAAAAAAATCAATCAGTTTGTAGTGCCAAATGGTACATAATGTTTATAGACCTAATTAAGTTTGCGATTGTATAAGAATCCTTCAAAGCAGATTTATAACCATTGCTGTCTTCATGTCAGTTGGTGAGGAATCTTAGGAGAACTGAAAGGTTCACTTTTCCTATGTTATTAACTTTTCCCATGTTGTTAGCTTTTCCCACCATTCCCTGATCTACTCATATTCACTTAGCTGTTGGTATCTTTGCATTCCGTTGCCTCCATGGACAATGAGGTTTTATGGATATAGGTTTGTGTTTGATGAGAGGTCTTAAATGGGTTTTATTTAGTGCATACCAGCAAGTGTCACTGTAGGATTAAAACCAGTATTATATGAGTTAGTATCTTGCTTTTTAATGACTAAAACAACAGTTCCAGATGACGAAATCTTACTTGTGAATCTGTATCATGAATTTGTCAGGCAGCTTTGAAATTGCTTTTTAATTTATTTTTTTAACTTTCTTGCATCAAGTGTATTGTCATACCCTGATGTGTCTGCATTAACTACTAAAAATGGGCTTTTTTATTGAATAACTAAGATTAACCAGTCTAAATTGCACACTGTAGTGATACTATTTTTTCTCAAGCTGTCATGATTTTTGTTAAATAAACTATGGATTTAATAGAAGCAGGGGTATAACAATAAAATATAATCTGGCCTGTACTTGCTTAAAATATGCATCTCAGTTTTCCTTAAAAAAGAAACAATCTGAAAAAGCTGTCAATGCTTAATTTCTTCATTGTTAGTGGTCAATGGCATATCACACTTCTTAAAGAAATAACTGACTCCTTAACTTAAAGAAAAGTATTGTTTATGTCTGAAATTTAATATCTTGTGAAGAAACCAGTCTGTAACCAGTCCTTTAGAGATAAAATGTGTTTGATGGGACCAGAGGCAGGTCATTCAGTTGTGAGTTTTCAGGAAAGGTGAATTTCTTGTGAATTTTAAAGAGTAACAGCCCCATTGGAGCTTTTATATGAAGAAAGAATCATTTGTTAATCTAGTGGAGTATTTGGAAGGAATCAATGAGCATATGGCTAAGGAAAGTCCATTTGTTGTGGTATTTTACTATCCAAAACTGTGTTCAATATTTCATTTTAACTTATAAAATAAAGTAAATTTTTCTTGTCAAATACTATCTGATTAAAATAAAGTCCTAAAGGGTGAGCAAAGGGACAGGCATAACAGTGCTAAGAGATTACTCACAGAATCCTAAAAAAACTTCTGCTGAAGTCCTGGCTGTTGAATAAGTTTAAAAAGATATCAAAAATGTTTGGATATTCTAAGAAATGTACTTATAATATTGCTTAGAAATTATTATCCAGTCTCATACTTCCTACACATCGCATTTTGTTATGCCTGAACTAAACACCAAAATATCTCTAATGTGGTGGTTGTAACTTTTAAAAGTGGTAAATTTTAGGTTTAGCTCATGTTGAAATAGTGACAAATGTGACAAACCATGACTGGAGCTGCAATAAAAATAAGAAGCTTGCACAATAAAGTACCTATTCCCTGAAGGTAAAGGTTTGCTTTGGATTTCAGGAATAATGCTCTTAATGATAAGGAAGATAAACACTTCTGAGCATATATGGTCAAAGTAGAGTTAAGTGCTATACTTGGTAATTAAACTGTCTTCAATTTAGAAAGGAAAATTCAACTTTTTCTTATAAGGATTTCACACATTTCAAATAACATTTAATGCATCTCAACCAAGAGATGCACTAACACACCTAACTAATATGCCTTCAACTTGTCTCCTTTTTAAGGTCCCCTTGGAAATCTCTCTCCTGCTTTCTCACATCTCTTTTTTTTAATAATTATCAATCTATTATTGCAGCTGTTAAGGATGGTTAATTTCATACGTGTCCTCTCTGTGTTGTGAGTTGCACGTACACACAGACACATCTGTATGCGTTTATTTCCATTTTTAATAAGTAAATATTTTAATAAGTAAATACAAGAAAACTTTTGAAGATATGCACTTTCCTTAGGAAAGTAAAGTTGTTTACCTCTGGCTTGCAAGTGGGTATAGCAGTTCATATACCAAAGAATTTTATTCTGCTTCAATGGAAATATTTTGGAGACAGAGCTAAGACTTGAATAGATCTTTCAATTTTTAAGTAAGAACGTGATGAAAACACAATGAAGAATGACACTTTTCCAACATATGTGGGCTTTTTGAATACATTCTATATTGAGCCTGCCTGTGCTGGTGACAAAGGATTTGTTTTTTCGTGGCATTACTGAGCGCCTGGTACAGCAATGGGGGAGAGCTGCCTGTTGTTGTGCTCTGAGCCCTGTAACTAGTCAAGTGCTGGATGCAAAGCCTTTATTGTTAGCTGATAAAGAAAAGTAGATTCTAGCCCAGCTTCACGTAGCGTTAAAAACCTGTGTGAAATCACCGTGTGGTGCAAATCAGTCGTTAATTTCAGTGGGGCCAGGATTACATCCAAGGATATCCTGGAAGCTTTGGCCGGATTTTGCACTGAAGGATCACACCCTGAACCCCATCCTTATGTGAGGTTTGGCTTACCTTTTTTTCAAAGCACTAGCAAGTGCTTGTCTGGGGCACTTCCTCCGCAATCAGCTTAAAACTTCAGTTTAGTTTGTATTTTGATCCATCACCACTGACACACAGTACCGGGGGACTGTGCTACCAGTGGCTCCCTGCACTGTCTCCCTGGCAAGAGGAGCAAATTGCAATGGTCACTTTTTCTTCTCTGTGTCTTTAAATTAATGAGGAATTAAATTATTTGTGACTTTCTGCCCACGTGGGCATTTCAGAGTTCATTCTTGGGTACTGTTTGAAGTGAAACACTGCAAAGTTCCTGAGAAAATCTGAAATGTGAGTAAACATCTTTCCTGTGGTACCCAAAATTGCCAAAGTGCAGTTGACCCACAAAAAAGAAGATCTTTTGGACAATGGACTTATATTGGCTGCCAGAATAATTCCTGAAGTTACCTTCTCTTAGATTCAGCATCAGAATTGAGTAAAGAAAAATCTCATTTAATTGAACTGCTTTAGGGTGTTGAGTAGTAGGTAGACCACCAACATATTTGTATATAATAAATTTTCTAAGTTTTCTCAGTTTGGATTGTTCACAATAACAGAGTGTTTTTCTTCCTGTACCCAAATGGAGTGGCTTCAGAAAACAATGTTAGAAAAAATATCTTGATTTTTTAAAAAAATTATGTCTACAAGTAGTTCTGGTGAATAAATTAATGATGAATGCCACACATGAAATTATAAACACTGTGACACTGCAGTACACACTTAGTGATTGTGGATTAAATGTATAAGACCTTTAAATATTTTTGGTGTAACTAAACAATAACATGTCTAATTTCCTATTTCTAAAAAATACTAGCGATAACAATTTGTGGTATGTTGGCTAAATGCTAATGTCTGGGGCAAGACCAGTACATGGAACTTGGCAGTAATTGCAGAATTTTAAATTTGCTTTTAGCAATTATTTCAATATTTGAATTTGAGGATTTTTTTTCATTGTGTCCATAAAAGTCAAATTCTCAGCTCTTTAGATAGAGCAAACTAAAAGCTTAATCCATTACACTAATTTTACAAGGAGAATAGTTAATTACCAGAAGTATTGTTTACTTTTTTTCTTTAATTTCTACAAAAACAAGATGCTAGTCGAGTATTTTAAATTCCTTCTAAACTGTATTTGGCATGACTTTTTGGATCTATTTGTATGCTATTGTAATTACAGCTACTTGGGACTCAAAAGAGTTGATTATTTGAGTTGCATTCGTTTCTTTTTTCCTTTTCCATTTGCAGGATGCTCTGGCCCACTAGGCATAGAAGGAGGGATTGTGTCAAACCAACAAATCACTGCATCATCCACCCATCGAGCTCTTTTTGGCCTCCAAAAATGGTACCCATACTATGCACGGCTTAATAAGAAGGGTCTTGTGAATGCCTGGACTGCTGCAGAGAATGACAGATGGCCATGGATTCAGGTAACAGATGGAGCTGAGGGGAAAAAAAATCTCCTTGATTCAATTGCCAGTGTCACTTAAGAAACTGATGAAGACAGGTGGTTAATGAACAGCTAGATTCTTATTCACTGTCAGAAACGTAGCCTAGGCTAAAAGGGACTAGTTAGTTGCAAAGCAGTGATAATCTTGATTTTACAAATGCAAAAATCTTTTTATTTAAAAATGTGATATGTTCCATTGTGGCTCTAAACTGTGGAAAGCGGGTTTATAAAGGCTCCTTTCAAAGAAGCTGCTTTCCACAGATGTTACATTTTGTATTTGGGTCCTTAGAAGCATATCACAGCAATATTTCATGGTGGAGATGTTTTGACATGTGCAGCCTTCCACAGGTGTCTTTCTAGAGAGCTTTAATGTGGTTTTGGCTTTACCAGAGCTTGCAGGAAGAGCTGGTCCTCTCTGCTGGGCTGCTCTGGGCACAGAGAGTAAGTATCACGTGCATTATACTGGAAGTAACAAGAAGTGTTTTAATTAAGTCTGAAGCAGCTGTTAGTTCAGCCACATCCATGGGGCTGAAAATACACATTTTCTTATTCCCACTCAAGGGTGTTATTGCTGGAATGATTCAAATGGCAGTGCCCTCACTGTGAACTGGATTTCTCTCTACCCAGCAAATGATTTCAGTGGAAGTCATGAAGCACTGAATATGAAGTCCTGTGGCAGTATTTTAATGAAGATAATGATTATCTAGTGATTGCTGTCGCTCTTTCCTCCTATGGGGTTTTCATGATATATGAATTGGCCTAAGCTTTGGCAATTTCAGCTGTTGGTTAATAAAGGCTAGTAAGTTAGATACTTACTAACAAAAGGAAAACCTTTTGCATTAATCAGGGTAGTCAATATGTGAAGAGGATGCTTCCCTTTGAGTGAATATAGGATTTAGCTAAACATGGTATTTGAGCATCTTGTCTGCCAGCGCTAAGTTGAACTATCCATAATGTCCCTCAGATGTGTCAGACACACTCTACTTGAAGTTACCTTTGTAAGCATGTCGTAATATTTCATAGAACCATAGAATCATAGAATTAACTGGGTTGGAAGAGACCTCCGAGATCATCAAGTCCAACCCTTGATCCAACCCCACTGTAATTACCACATCATGGCACTCAGTGCCACATCCAGCCTCTTCTTAAAAACCTTCTGGGAAGCTGAATCCACCACCTCTCTGGGCAGGCCATTCCAATGCCTGATCACTCTCTCTGTAAAGAACTTCTTTCTAATATCCAAACTAAACCCCCTTGGCACAGCTTAAGCCTGTGCCATCTTGTCCTACAGCTGATTGCCCAGGAGATATACAAGCTTATGTCGTGGCTACCACTTGTGATTTTTCCTGAGTGGCTCCCAAATTACCTGGGGAAAAAGCACAAGGGATTACCTGTTCATTTTTTCTTGTTTGGAGAGCAGATACAAAGTGCTGTTTGATGAAGTTTTTTGGAACTGGGATGGCAAGAGTGCTGGATTTTGTCAGTTATGGAAAACAAAGCCAATGTTACTATTTGTTATTTATTGCAGAGTGAAAACACAAAGGTCCTTCAATGTATCTTAAATCAGTTTTCATCAGTAAAGACCAGAGGGGTTAGGAAGTCTAATATTTATACATTGAAAAAGAACTGGAAAGAGTAAGGCTAAGGGACTCAGGCAGAATTATTTCTACAGGAGCAGAAAGCTAATGTGACTTTAATGGATAATGAAAAAGTCAGCATTACAGTAGCTTTTGGGCTGCTTTAGAGTATGGGCTTTATTAAATGAGCTGGGGAAAAAAATTCAAAATCATTTTGCACTGGCCCTCTAGACACATGTTTTTCTGGGAGATGAACTGGATGGCGATGTCTAATGGTCTGATGCTTCCACTCATTTTTGCACTTGTCAAAGCCGCAACCCACAGGGGAGGCAGCTCTCAGACCCCTGTGCAGTGTGTATCCAAACCAGACGTGGGTCTGCCTTGGGCTTTGCTCCCAGGAAATCTTCCCATTCCTCTTACCTGGGAGGAATGTTGGGCTGATGGAGAAAGTGTGTTTATAAATCTCAGCCCTGAGTTCAGTTCTGAACAATTTGTTCTTTTTCTTTGGAGATAATGGATCAAATCTAATTCCTATCTCATAGAGGTTATTCTGTAATTTTGACTACCATAGTGTGTAAGGATTTTCTAGAAACATTAAGTGATATGATTAATGTATTCTAAGCAACAAACAGTCTCTTCTTTTGCTTCTCACTTTTCTTGCATAATAAACTTTGGTCTATAATTTTTACAAAACTTG